TAGTTAGAAATCAAGGAGAAAACTGCACAAGTTGGAGAGGTCATGTCTAGAAAAGGTATACAACACAACTCACTCATGGGTTCATTGGTAGTGAGCAAGTGAACAATGGTGCAGATAGTTTCCTGTGTTGCACAGAGAAGGGCTAGCAGTGGCTACGATGTGGCATGTATTAGGATTGTGCAGAAATATTTTGGAAAAGTTACTTTGGAGTCCTTTGGATGTAGCACCTCTTTAAAGCAGACGTGCCTTTTCCCAAGGTCCTGAGAATGCACTATGAAACAGCTTTTGGAATCAAATCTGAAGCGTAACACAGCCATAGTATGTATATGGATATGTATATGGGAGGGTACCTATGATCCTGCAGATGTTGCTGATGGTGAGGAATGCTGGAATTTCATCATATCCAGAGAACCACAAGCTCTTTATTTCTGGGCTAGGACATTATTTGAGAGCCAGTTTGGTAAAGTGGTTAAGAACTGGTTAGTTCTTAACTAATTAACTAGTTAACTTAGTTAGAAACCAGGAGACTATGAAGCCAGCTGGGTGACTTTGGGCCGGTCCCTCTTTCTCAGCCCTAGGAAAAAGGCAAGGGCAAACCAGTTCCAAAAATATTGCCAAGAAAATGGCATGGACTTGCCCAGGCAGTCACAATGAGTGAAGACTCACTTGAAGGCACCACCCCCCCACCGCCACCAAAAAAAGTGCATTATTCATCACTGCAAGAAATATGCTGGATAGAAACTATGGGGCGAGGTGGGGAATCTTTGTGCTGTGCTTCCTCAACTTTCTGAGCATCAGTAGTTGAGATTTACTAGAGTTGTGATTCAATTCAAGAGCTGTGATTCAAAGTGTCTTAGACTGGACGGTGGTGAGGCTACCAAGACACTAGTTTAAGTACCATTTGGTCTGCCTAGCTGGGGTGATATGACAAGTTTCTTAAATACTTGGTTGTCTTCAAGGTGGTGGTGTCTATAGTGCTTGCAATTAGACGAGCATTAAAGACCAACTTGAGAGTGCAAATCCATTCTGATGAAATGCCTCTTTCTGACAGAAGCCAGCTCTCATGATCCAGATTTATGATGTTGTTCACCAACAGGGACTGTGTTAAGCTGACAAATGATCATTGCATCAGCAACTGAGTAAAGGAACAGTCACAGTTGTTGGCAGCAGGTGGATTAATAAAAGGCCAGGGACAATGTGGCTTAGCAGTTGTGGATGTCCATGGTCTGTAATTCACAGCTGGGAGTGAGCACTCATCTTTAGATGTGGAGGGAGGTTTGGGAAGATGTTTAAGGCTGTTGGTGCCTCATGTTGAACGAGCAGAAGAGAGGGGAGCTTTAGAAAACACTATGCGTATTGTTGCAGCATTCCTTCCATGGGTTTGGTACATAATCTTATGTGTTTGGAATTCAGGGGTAAAGGATATATTGTGATAGGCTTGCATTAAATGAGGATTATTGTTTGTTCAAAGATGTATTCTACTGTACATAAATCAGAGTTGTAGAACTTAAGGCCCAAATACTGTATGTTGGGGTCCAACATATGGACCCTCAAAGATTGGTGCAGCTCACAGAGATCTTCAAATATTCTTCCCAAACTGTAATTTGGAATATGATAGAAAGGGGATTTTGATTAAAAATATAATTGGAGGATTATCATATTAATTATACATTTAAATTTCAGTGTAAATGAGATGAACGTATATTTTTATCTTGGTTTCACCACTGCTTTTTGGAATGCAACCCCTTGGGTTCATGTGTCATGCGAACCCAGAAAACTGGGTTAATTGAATAATCCACATAACTAATTAACTACGGGTAAGTGTGCTGTGTAAATTCTGCCTTTGCTTTGCTATAAAACTGAAAGATGAAAAGAAAAATGTTATTTCTACATTGTCTTATCTTGTATTCTGTCTTGCTTTTCAGTCCGGCCTCCTGCTTTTCAGTTGCCCTCCCATCTTGATTGCTCTTCCGTCTTGAATCTCTGTCTCCCAGTTTATTCCAAACCAACCTCTCTCTTAAAATGCTAACCCATCCATCTTCACCCTTCTGGCTGAAAACGTGTTGTTGACAAGTGGGAAATGCATCTCATTTCTTCCATTAAAAAAGAAAGAAAGAAACTATCAAGGGTTTCTGCCTGAATCTTAAAACACTGTATTTGTGACTCGCCGCTATCCAGATTCTCCACTGCTCTAGGAGCTATGGGCTTGGTGATTAATAATAGAATTCTTTGAGTTAATTATGATAGGCATGTTCGCTCCTTCTTTAGCAGCTCCCTCCCTTGGTACAATTGCTTTTAAACAAAAATGCCCTCAGCTGAGGAAGCTGTATCAGTGGGAGCTCAGAAACTGTTTGCTGCATGTAATGGCTTCAGAACATTAGCTGCCTCAAATCATGCTAGAGAAGAGCAGAGCTGTGCTGCTAATTGATTCTCTGCCTCGAGTGAAAACGAATTTGTCTGCTGTGTTGTTCCGTACACATTTTGGGGAGTGGGGATGGCTGACTTGGCTGATACAAAATAGGAATCTCTAGAGATGACCCAGCACTGTTACCTGCATCACCATGTGCAGATGTGCCCAAAAGTATTGCAGGTATCTCAGCTGAGATTTTGAGCACATAGCTTGGTAGTGACACTGGCTTTGGTGGCAAGTCAACTTTGCTTCCTTATTCTGAATGCTGATAGAGATCTCTGACTTGCCCCTGCAGCACCACCTATTTATCAGATATGACCAACTGTTCTCAGCCAATACTTTAAGGGACGTTTGTGCAACAATTGCCTTTAAGGGGAATAATGCTGAACTTGGTACATTCATCAGTTTCATATGTGAAAGGGAGAAATGGGGTTTACAATCATGGCCCATGAACATCCTTCTTATATTCCAAGAGAAGTGATCCCAGGAGCAGGAGAACAGGTTTTTATGAAACCCTTCAAGAGTCTGTCAAAGTCAGTCCTCAACTGAAAGTTCTTTAAAAAAGGCTTTGCTAGAATACATGTTTTGTATGCAGAAAGTTCTAGGGCCACTCTTGACATTCCCAGTTCAAAAATCATCTTGTAGGTGACAGGAAAGGACATTTCTGATAGAAAAACTAGGGAGAGCAAAAATTCAGAAATTCAGCTTGATATAAAGCAGTTCCTATGATAAGTATTAATAGGGGAACTTCCATTCCTTGCTCCCAAAGAAGTAGCTGTATTCCAGAAGAACAGTAGAACTACAACTCCCAGCATCCCTCAACACTTGCCATGCAGCTTAGGATTCC